TTGAAAGGGTTTTGAGGACACCTCACAGTAGAAAAGAGGTTTCGTATTCTGAGTGTGACAAAGTTTACGAAATATTGCCTGAAAGCCGTTCGATCACTGCCCTTTAACCAATGTTGAATCATAATTGTTATATTGACCTAATCTACTATATTTTAGACCAAAAAATGCTAATCGGGCAGCTATGGTAAACAATGTCACAAAAATGTGACATTTTTTACATTATAGTGCCTAAAAGCAATACATTTTATTTCTGAGCGGTGCATATGGGAGTATGGGTCACGTGGCTAATGTTCAGAACTTATGAACATGCTAGATTAATAGATTCTAAAATTAAGCCACTATCGTCGAAAACGCTATTTTAGAAATTTACCAATATCCTCAAACTTCAATGAACGTGTCCATATATAATTGAGATTAAGTCCTGAAATGAATGATCGTTCTGAGTTGAGTTATTTGTACAAATATTTAGTCGATATTTAACTAGTAAGTAATGTATTGATAGGACTAGCTTGGATAGTAACCATGGCAACGGAGTTATCGTTGCTTAAGTGCTGATTTCATCAATAGTTTTTACACATGAATTGTGAATTCTGAACAACCAGTTTTACGTTTACTAATTAGTATAGTATCATGTGTAGTACAGGATTTAGTTGTATTAGCTTACATTTCTTCTTTTCGTATTTTTTGAAGTTTAGAATTTTTTGCAATTACATTTTTGGGTCATATTTCGTAAATTTTATTTTTTGTATTTGTTTTAATGTTATTTTAAATTTCTTTCCGTCGTTAATTTTATACATCTTTTAACAATTATATTACAGAACTGAAGAAGACGTAGTTACGTGGAATGATTATTTCAATTCAATAAAGTTTCTAGCCTAAAGTCTGCTTCTTCATTTTGTTCGCAACATAAGAGTCAAAAGATAACTTCTCCAAGAAAAATCAAGTTCAAATGCGACTCATAAATATAGCCCCCTTGAACTATTTACTCAACACTATCAAACTTATATTAGTGTAAAACAATTCAATTTGATCATGGACACTAGATACAGTAGAGTTGGGATTGTTTAATAGGGTTTATTGTATTGCAATGAATAAAATAATGGACCTTATTCCAATTCAATATTGCAATTTACAAATTAGGTTCCTTTAATCTTTAATTAATAGTTTATATTAAATATTTGATTAATAGTTTATTAAATATCAGTTAAAAAAAATAAATCTTACAATTCAACAGTGAACCATCTCAATAAAATACAGTATCATATTTATATAATTAGAACATCTTCATAAATAAAAATAGTAAATTAATTCATAATACTAATACAATTTTTTCTAAAATTTCGACCTATAAAATGTCTGCCTATATTAGATTACACTACAGGATCGGAGTCAGCACACATTGCCATGATCACATTTTTATGAGAGGAGGCTGCAAAGTGCAAGGATAAGTGAGGCATAAAGACTTTTATGCATATTATTATTACTCATGTGGTAAGAGAGTATTAAGAAAAATGTCACTTAGCAATTGTTAGCCTTATTTTAGCAAGCATTAAAAAGTTAAAATGATCTTGATTTCATTAGTTATCATGACAAGTTAGAGATTTGAAATTATAAAATGCACGTCTTAAAATCTAGGAGCTCACTTTCCATTTGTGTTTGACCTGAATGGTGGACAAGATGCTTTGTTACCTGTTACTGATGGCTATTCCTCCTGCATTTACAATTACCGTAACAACCAATAAACCAGAAGTCACTGAGGTTTTTACCTCATACCATTTCAGTTCTTACTTTGAGTTGTGCAAAATGGGCCCACAAGACGATACAGGCTCGTATCTCATCCAACAAGCAGTAGAGGAGTTAAATGGGCACGATCTTTACTGTGACGACTATTGGACTGACTATGAGGCTGATATTTTGTGTAAAACCTGGAACTTCAAGTTTGGGAGGAGAGCTGCTCAGAACCTGGAGAATGCACAAGAAAGATACTACAGTGAGGTGCCCCACTGTTATGTATGGGGTCCTGTTGACTTTTACAGAATGTATTCCGGTGATGGGAATTGTGTTGATCCTACCTTTGAACCGCAGGATTGTGCAAATGACCAGGTAGCTGCAGTATACTGCTGGGACGTTGAGTATGAAGATCACTACCAATACATCTCTAAATCCTCCACTAAAAATAAGTGGTCTCTGCAGTTCCAGATTTTCAACATAAAACAGGGCAAAAAGTACAATGTGGTAGGAGAAGAGTCCCTCGTTAAGAATCCAAAAAGCAAAGATTTCGAAGTTAAAGCTTGTGACAAGAGTATTTCAGTGAAACTAAATATTGATAAAAAATCAAAGTCTTTGAAACTAAAAGGAAATTGGAATAAAAAATGTAATAAATGTCTGGAATTTTTCTATGAGCAAAAACGAATTCTCGCTGATGTGTGTTTGAAGAAGAAAAGAAAGAAGAAAGGCACGACATTCTAGATCCACAAATAAAGACCCCTCTGTGAGCCACCTTAAACATAGCTATTTTCAGCACTTTATGAAATATGTGATCCGATTAGCAGACTTACATGGATTCTTAACTTTCCTTTAACCTGAAATTATTTTATATTCGATAAAAATGTATTGCACTACTTTTATGCAATCGAAAAATAAGATTTCAAATATGACATTTTGATGAGACTATCAACAAATCTGTGCTTAACGATAACTAGATTGAATAAGAATGCACCTACTACTACTACTACTTACTACTACTATCTAATATCACCATCCCTGTTAAAAACCTTCTAATTTGTTTGCAAAAGTTATCTGTGAATTTTCTTATGTCTGTTTTCTTTTTGTTTGTTTCAGACATTTCACACTGTAGTTTAAGAGTTTAAGCCGTTTTAAAATCACAAAAATGTTAGTTACAACAGTTTTATTGATCATTTTAAATACAGATTTATGTCATTAGTTCACTTACAACCTTTCTACTTGAAACCGACAATATATCAAAGTAAGTACAGTAAAACCCCGATTTACCACGCCCCGATTTACCGCAAACCCCGATTTACCGCTGCCATTTCCTTCCCCAAAAAAGGGGCTTAACATGCACAATGTAAACCCCGATTTACCGCAAACCCCGATTTACCGCTGCCATTTCCTTCCCCAAAAAAGGGGCTTAACATGCACAATGTAAACCCCGATTTACCGCAAACCCCGATTTACCGCGGCTATTTCCTTTCTCCCAAACTCGCGGTAAATCGAGGTTTTACTGTATCTAGTATTATATATATAATATATAATATGTTATGCTACTCAATTATAGATTTGGTAACCTTTCTTCAGTTCATATGTTGTAGTAACATCCTAGTAAAAACAGCCTAGTTTTATTTGTTGTCTATTTACAAAATCCATCACGTGTCATATTTAATCACGATGAACGAGGTGTGCTCACTGCTCCTCCATAAAATAAACAGTTGAAAAAATAATTAAAACAACATTTAGACTTTTCACATGATGTATTAAAATAGAGTTAAAAAACACAGTCATGCGTAAATCTTCCCAGAGGCAACGTTTTATAAGTTATTTATAATCGTGTAATATGGATAACACAGGATTCAAAGGATCAAAATTTATTATTTTCTTTCAAGGTTTGAAATTTTCCAGTTGAGTTAATTTAGCGGGGTAGAAGATGGCATAAGACAGGCCAATTAAGAGCTGATAAGATTACATCATTCTCTTTATGTACCTATAGTTTCTATGGTTACCTACCTATTCTCTTTATGTGAGCATGAAATGTGGTAACTAGTAGTGTAACTATGGTAACTAGTAGTGTTCTCTTTATGTGAGCATGAAATGTGTATGTTCAAGTAAAGAGAGTGTTTCCCGAAACCAGTTTAATGAACAGAACAAGATGAGAATTCTTGGTAACAAGATGATGTATAAATGCAGATAATTCATGCAGAGAATTCTCATGGTCCACTGATAACCCCTGTATAGCCACTGTAATAGCCCCTATTAGGGTTGCACTGAAAGTAAACACGTGCTCTATAGTTACTATGGTTACCTACCAAACACGTGCTCTACTGGTTGTGCTGAGTATTGACTATCTTAGATATAGTTATATATAATATAGATACAGTACTTGTTCAGATCACTAAGCTCTCCAATCGCTGATTCTCTGACATAATGAGAGATACGTCCTTTTCACCATTAATCTTATGGGAGATTTTACATCTCTCATATTATATTGTTTTATGGTCTACTATAATGACATTATCAAATCTTTGATTACAAGTTACATGCTAGTCCTGATAATATGCAGAGATCCTCACAAAATCCTCGATCTAAAGAATAAGATGTTGTTAATAGATGTCGCATACATCTCAAGACAAGTGAATACAGAAAGAAATACAATAATTGATCTAAGGTGGAACAACCAACGTCGCTTCACTATGCTACCACTGTGTTGCCACTGTACTACCACTATTCTGCCAATATGATGCCGCAAATAGAGGATTTAAGGATTTACGGAAGTTCAGATGTTACGTCTTTATGTGCTGTAACAGTGGTCCTAAAACAGTCTTATAACTGGGAAATTATTACTTCATCATTAAACTGTTACCTACCTATAGTTACTATGGTTACCAACCTATGTGACCTATGTTACGTTAAGGAACGACCGAAATTTATGGTTCTGATTTTCTCTTTTCTTATCGGTTAAACCTCTGTCAAATCTTTTGGATGTTTACTGTTTAGGGGTGAGATATAACCACAAGTCCCTTTTCCTGACTTCACTTACGTATAAAGTGCACCGGGATCGCCACTGTTCACGCAGTATTACTCGATTATAATTCTGATACGTTGGAATTAAACGTCTTCCTTTATAATACTGATACATAATGATGTGTATTATTTAGGTAGATGAGTCAGTCTTCCTTTATAATACTGATACTTAATGATGTGTATTATTTAGGTAGATGTGTATTATTTAGGTAGATGTGTATTATTACACGTGTGTATTATTTAGGTAGATGTGTCAGTTTGATGCGGAGTAGTGGAGGTAAAAGACTAAACAACCCTAAGAAAGTCCTCTGTTGCAATGTGACTTTCTTGGACGATGCTGTAGCTACTTACGAGGTTCCTAAAGATGCGAAGGGGAGTGTGTTGTACCAGAGTGTAGTGAGGTATGTTACCATAGTTACACTACTAGTTACCATAGTTACACTACTAGTTACCATAGTTACACTACTAGTTACCATAGTTACACTACTAGTTACCATAGTTACACTACTAGTTACCATAGTTACACTACTAGTTACCATAGTTACACTACTAGTTACCATAGTTACACTACTAGTTACCATAGTTACACTACTAGTAACCATAGTTACACTACTAGTTACCATAGTTACACTACTTAGTGTAGTGAGGTATGTATATCTGTATTTCCCTTGTTGTTGTTAACATTATTAATACTTTATTTATCTGAGTATTAATTTATTATTTATTTAGGTCGCTGGATTTGAACTTGGAGTGTAAATATTTTGGGCTGCTCTTTACTGACGATTATAACTTTCCTCTATGGCTCGACCATGACAAAAAGGTACGATTAATTCACAATTTGTAGGGAGGCTTGTCAGATGCAACCAATGGTAATAAACCAACATATAATATTATAATAAGCAACATATAATAATAGGCATTTAATGAGCATCACCTTGTAATTTAGATGTGAAGTATTATTCTAATATTTTTATTTTAGATAAGAAGTCAGCTGAAGAGTGAACCACCCTACAAGTTTGAGTTTAGAGTCAAGTATTACGTGTCTGAACCGGGCTGCATGTTAACAGAGGAACTAACTAGATATCAGTTTGTTCTGCAACTCAAACAAGACATGTTCCATCAGAGACTCTCTTGCACCTTCAGGTACTGTTACAGCTAGTGTTACAGGACTGTTACAGCTAGTGTTACAGCACTGTTACAGCTAGTGTTACAGCACTGTTACAGCTAGTGTTACAGTACTGTTACAGCTAGTGTTACAGCACTCTTACAGCTAGTGTTACAGTACTGTTACAGCTAGTGTTACAGTACTGTTACAGCTAGTGTTACAGTACTGTTACAGCTAGTGTAACAGTACTGTTACAGCTAGTGTTACAGTACTGTTACAGCTAGTGTTACAGTACTGTTACAGCTATTGTTACAGTACTGTTACAGCTAGTGTTACAGTACTGTTACAGCTAGTGTTACAGTACTGTTACAGCTAGTGTTACAGTACTGTTACAGCTATTGTTACAGCACTGTTACAGCTAGTGCCACAGCACTGTTACAGTTAGTGTTACAGTACTCTTACAGCTAGCGTTACAGCACTGTTACAGCTAGTGTTACAGTACTGTTACAGCTAGTGTTACAGCACTGTTACAGCTATTGTTACAGCACTGTTACAGCTAGTGTTACAGCACTGTTACAGCTAGTGTTACAGCACTGTTACAGCTAGTGTTACAGCACTGTTACAGCTAGTGTTACAGCATTGTTACAGCTAGTGTTACAGCACTCTTACAGCTAGTGTTACTGTACTGTTACAGCTAGTGTTACAGTACTTTTACAGCTAGTGTTACAGCACTGTTACAGCTAGCGTTACAGCACTGTTACAGCTAGTGTTACAGTACTGTTACAGCTAGTGTTACAGTACTGTTACAGCTAGTGTTACAGTACTGTTACAGCTAGTGTTTCAGTACTGTTACTATACTGTCACAGTACTAATGTACTATGTAACTGTTTACTGTATACTACTTGTGCTAACTCTCTGACTGTTTCAAGCTATTTTGACCTAATTTCTAATTTATTTCATTTGATTAGAAGTACTACAGTACTAGTTACCATAGTTACACTACTAGTTACCATAGTTACACTACTAGTTACCATAGTAATCCACCACTACTTTTCAGAACACTAGCCTTGCTAGCTTCCTTTATTGTACAGTCAGAGCTGGGAGACTACGATCCTAAGATACACAAAGTTGGATACCTCAGAGAGTTCAAATTCGTTCCTAACCAGCCATCTGTAAGTACTTAGTAGTTCCTAACCAGCCATCTGTAAGTACTTAGTAGTTCCTAACCAGCCATCTGTAAGTACTGAGTAGTTCCTAACCAGCCATCTGTAAGTACTGAGTAGTTCCTAACCAGCCATCTGTAAGTACTGAGTAGTTCCTAACCAGCCATCTGTAAGTACTGAGTAGTTCCTAACCAGCCATCTGTAAGTACTGAGTAGTTCCTAACCAGCCATCTGTAACTATTAAATAGTTCCTAACCAGCCATCTGTAAGTACTTAGTAGTTCCTAACCAGCCATCTGTAAGTACTTAGTAGTTCCTAACCAGCCATCTGTAAGTACTGAGTAGTTCCCAACCAGCCATCTGTAAGTACTTAGTAGTTCCTAACCAGCCATCTGTAAGTACTTAGTAGTTCCTAACCAGCCATCTGTAAGTACTGAGTAGTTCCTAACCAGCCATCTGTAAGTACTGAGTAGTTCCTAACCAGCCATCTGTAAGTACTGAGTAGTTCCTAACCAGCCATCTGTAAGTACTGAGTAGTTCCTAACCAGCCATCTGTAAGTACTGAGTAGTTCCTAACCAGCCATCTGTAAGTACTGAGTAGTTCCTAACCAGCCATCTGTAAGTACTGAGTAGTTCCTAACCAGCCATCTGTAAGTACTGAGTAGTTCCTAACTACTGAGCCATCTGTAAGTACTGAGTAGTTCCTAACTACTGAGTAGTTCCTAACCAGCCATCTGGTGTTACTCTATTAGAAGTATGGTGTTACTCTATTAGAAATATTCGCACATGCTCATGGTGTCAAAGTAATGTCCATGTCAAATGTTTTAAGGATAATTTAGGCTGTACGAGTTGCTGTGAAAGTATCATTCCTGGATTTCACGCAACCTACTATGAAATCTATGACGACTACAGTAAACTTAATAGTGACATATTTAATCCGTACGATCAGAATAGTCGATTTAATCTTATTGGCGACGCCATGACCAACGAAGAGCATCAAGATACAACTTGGAGCAATATTTCATCTTTCCTAACTAGTTGTCAGTATAAACAACAACGTAACGTGAAAAAATCTACCTGCTCTCAACTTAAAACATTTTCTATGAACATAAGATCCCTTATTAAGAATATAGATCAACTACGTGATGATATTGAGACTTATGATAAGTATGATATATTGTGTTTTAACGAAACTAATTGCACTTTAGGGAAATTACCGAACGGAATAAACGACGTTACCTTAGATGGATTTCATGAACCATTTATCCAGGATCCAATTCGCCCATCTGGAAAAGGTGGGGGGCTAGCCACTTATGTACACAAACGTGTAGTCGATTATGATAAAATTGATATTTTTACTCCAAACCCTGAACCAACTAATACTAGTGGCGAATTTCAATTTATCAAGCTCCATCAGTGCAAAGGATACAACAGAACGAAAATAATTGGCAATGTTTACCGTTCTCCCGCTAGGAGACCTGAAGCGTTTCTAGAAATTTTCAAAAATACGCTGCACAACCTAGGGAGACACACCCGTAAACATATGACGCTTCATGGAGATTTCAACCTTGATTTACTGAAGCACAGCAGCGACCAAGCATGTCAGAACATTATAGATATTGCGTCCTCTTACGGTTTTATTCAAATTGTATCACGCCCAACTCGCCTAACGGACCATAGTGCCACGCTTATTGACCACATCTACACAAACAATCTTGAGGATACAATAAGCTGTAACGTCTTAACGACAGATATGTCTGATCACTTAGCAATAGTCACTACAATAAATCTTGATAACACGCCAACCAGCAGCTACCGCTCTGCGTCTAACTCACAAAATGTATCTCAAACTGAAACACGTAGATTTAACGACACCAACAATCAAAAATTCAGAGACTTAATTACAGATGAAAGTTGGTCAGAAATTTTTAACAATACCAATGATGCCAACGAACAGTTCAATAATTTAAATACGGCTTATAATAAGATTTACGAGTCCGCCTATCCCACAAAAAGACAAACACGAAGACAAAATGAACGTGTTAATCCGAAACCATGGATGCTGCCCTGGCTCGAAGAAGCTATAGAACGTAAAAATGAGTCATATTATGATTTTGTTAAGGAACCATCTGATAGTAACCGCAGTAAATATGACCGTCTGAAGAAGTTTTGTAATAAACACATCGATAAAGCTAAAAACAAGCACTTCAAAAAATTTTTTGAGCAAAACAAAGAAAATTCTAAGAAGCAGTGGCAAATGATAAACAGTCTTCTTAATAGGAAAAAATCTAAACCTACTTCAATTAAACTGACTGACGAAGACGGCTCAATCAGCACTCCGGCAGCTGTAGCAGAAAAATTTAACGATTACTTCTCAAACATCGCTCCTAAAATTAAGTCTGAAATTAGTAGTAGGACCACTTTTGATCCTGGTGGAACCCATAGCACACTTCGCAACGCCACTCCAAGTAGTATTTACTTAAAGCCAGTCACTGCCACAGAAATTCAGGACGTCATAAACCTGCTTAAGAATAAAGCCACACTAGACACTAAAATTGAACCTCTAAAAATCGCTAACAGCTGTCCCAGTTTTACTAGTGTACTAGCCCACGTTGTCAACAGTTCTTTTGAACAGGGGATCTTTCCACAGGCTTTGAAAGAAGCGAAGGTGGTCCCAATTCACAAAGGTGGATCTAAATCTGACATAAAAAATTACAGACCAATATCTCTTCTTGCTTCTTTCTCTAAAGTATTTGAAAAGATAATGCATAACCGAGTTATAAGTTTTTTAGATAAATACAGCATACTATGTGAAAACCAATACGGAAAATCAACATCTTCCTGATAGGAGAAAATCTTAATGAAGTTTACGATAAACTAATAACTCTTAGCGATGCTTTAGTTAAATGGGTAGATAATAATGGTTTAGCTCTCAACCTTAAGAAAACAAATTATATGATCTTCTCTCGACAAAGAAATCTTAATTATAGTGATGTGGCAATTTCTGGTGTCACAATTGAGAGAAAAACAGAAGCCCGTTTTTTAGGAGTTATAATAGATGATAAACTAAACTGGTCCCATCATATTTCTGCCATGAAAATGAAAATGTCCAGATACATAGGAGTCATGTACAAACTTAAAAAATATCTGCCTCTCGAAGCACGTCTTCAAATTTATCAAAGTTTTGTGCAGTCACACCTTAATTATTGCAGCCTTGTATGGGGTTTTGCTGCCAAGTCTCATATTGAATCGCTTTTTGTAAAACAGAAAATGGGCCTTCGAGCAGTATTACCTGGTTTCGTCAATTACTGGTACAAGGACGGTATCCCCCCAGCAAGTACCAAGTCTGGCTTTTATTCACATAAAATATTGACAGTACACAGTATCATTGTAAAGAACGCACTCATTTTAATGCATAAATTGAAAAACTTTCCTCATCTAGTACCATTGTCTCTCAAGAAAACAATTCCCAAAAGCGCACCATTATTTAATACTAACCTGGATTCTATTCTCACTACACAATGGTCAGAAAAGTATGGTCAACACCCTTACAACAACTCAGTATTTTTTAAAGGTCCATTATTAGCAATAAACCGATATAATGTTGCAGCAACTTCCCCGCTTAGTCTATTTAACCTGAACATTTACAAAACTTGTATAAAAACTATGCTCATCGATCAGCAAAATGAAAACATCGAAGACGATTGGCCTAATTTCATGTTATATTGTATAACAGGACTAAGAAAATCAAAGCGTAACATAAACCAAAATGCCGATAATAACCTTGTCTCTACATCTTAGATTATATGCACACACTTATGCATCACTCAATAAACGTCGCATATCTCATCAATTACACTGCCAACATAGGACATTCTTTTTTATCGCCGCGATTTCAAATCAAGTTACAAATTCTACAAATTTGAAGTGCTCAGTCTTGTTTTACTTTTCTTATCTTTACCTATTAACCATTGGAAAATAAAACTTTAAGCTATAAACCTTCATTGCATACTTTACCGGTAGAGTCTAAATTGAATAGTTTGAGATTTCCTTTACATTTTATATTTATGCATGTGCCCCACGGGGATGAATTTCTTATTACCATTGATATTATATATACTTTTTTGAGTAAACATTGGCTGGTACCACGGGCCAGTCCCCAACAAAAAAAAAAAAAAAAGTACTTAGTAGTTCCTAACCAGCCATCTGTAAGTACTTAGTAGTTCCTAACCAGCCATCTGTAAGTACTGAGTAGTTCCTAACCAGCCATCTGTAAGTACTGAGTAGTTCCTAACTAGCCATATGTAAGTACTGAGTAGGATAAGTATAGTAGTTACAAATTAAAATTGCTTGTTTGTTTGTTATTACAAGTATCTGAAGATTTAGCTACTCTATTGACTTGTTAAACTTGTATTATCTTCTAATTACTTGTGGGAGGTAATGTGTCACTAGTTACTTGTGGGAGGTAATGTGTCACTAGTTACTTGTCGGAGGTAATGTGTCACTAGTTACTTGTCGGAGGTAATGTGTTTAACGTGACATGCTCGCACTACTCAATACAATAACTCTAAACATCATTAGTATTATAATGATGTGGTGTGACTACTCGCTGCTACTAGAGTAGTAGTATAATGATGTGGTGTGACTACTCGCTGCTACTAGAGTAGTAGTATAATGATGTGGTGTGACTACTCCCCGCTACTAGAGTAGTAGTATAATGATGTGGTGTGACTACTCGCTGCTACTAGAGTAGTATTATAATGATGTGGTGTGACTACTCCCCGCTACTAGAGTAGTAGTATAATGATGTGGTGTGACTACTCAACGCTACTAGAGTAGTATTATAAAGTTATAATGATGTGGTGTGCCTACTCGCTGCTACTAGAGTAGTATTATAATGATGTGGTGTGACTACTCCCCGCTACTAGAGTAGTAGTATAATGATGTGGTGTGACTACTCCCCGCTACTAGAGTAGTAGTATAATGATGTGGTGTGACTACTCAACGCTA